CCATACCATCCGCTTTTGACCAATCCAAGACCATCGGTGTGGCTGTAGCAACACGAATGCCTCGCGGTGTTTGCTGCGTGCATGTTTTCCCAGCTACCCCGACTGACCTTTTCGTAAAGGTTAAATCGTGTGTGTAGTAGCACTGCTACTGATTTTAAATAAGTACAATCTTGTGCAGGGGCTGTCAGACTCTCATTAGGGAATGCCCTGTTGTAATTTTATTTTCATTTTTAAATTGAGGAAGACTTCGTACGAGGGAAAAGTCATTGAAAGGATTGTTTCAACTGCAGCTACTCGAAGACTTCACATGAGGTCGCATCATCAAGTCATACAGTAAACTGCAGGAACCTTTTCAGTAGCGTTATAAAATTTTGACCGCCATAGATAAGACCGGACTCAGTGCCGTTCCAAAAAAAACACTCCTAAGAAAATTAGTCTTTAGAAGTGTTTAACTTTGTTGCCATCAAATGCAGATGCATTAAATGCTTATTGCCAAATTGCCACAGATCGCTGCGTATTTTAAGGGTAGTTTATTTAATAATATTCGTAAAGTGCTACTTGTATCTGGTCAGTAGTATTTGTTGTTCATCTTCAGAAAGAGACATTATACCTTGTTTACTCACTGAAAACAGCTAAACATATGCCATGAAATCATTAACTCACGTAAAGACGAACATACAAACAATAGAGGATGTAATAGCGCCTAATTATGTAGTTTTTGAAGGGCCTCATCAGTCAAAATAAAGTTGTTTTATCCCTGTGAACTATGGAGGCATCTTCTGTACCGGATGTGAGAGTGCTTTTAAATGCTCATTTGGCTTTACCAATACGCTAATTTTAATGCCGATACCACAGTATCTTTAGGTTTGCATTTGGAGAAGCGATCTAATCATTCTACTTGTGTTTAGTTAGTAGGACCTATCATTCTCCACTAAGATAAGCCTTTGCTCTTTGTTCACTTAATAAAAAGGCAAACGTTTGCGATGGATTCATTAACTCACAATAGGCGAATATTTAACGAAGGGGTGGGGAATGTTTTATTTGACGACTTATTAGATGTTTTATTAAACAAATAAACTTATATTGCCCTTGTGAACCCAGGGGTATTTTCTATGCTGGATACACGACTAAGCTAAAATGCTCTATGCAGGCCATACAACCTTACTACAAAGCTAAATCAACAAGGGCATCGTTAATTTTAAACATTTAAAAGTAGAGTCAAACCTTGCAATCAGTAGGATTTGTAACCATGAGGAATTTCTCTCCACACAGCACTTGGGATGGTGGGCACTTTTAAGCATCATTTTCCAGATAAGGTAGTAATAAAACAGGGCTTAAAACGTTGACAGAATCGTTACGACATTAGAGGCAAGAATTTGTAGGAAATGAAATTGGCAATTAAAGGTATCAAGAAATGGGAATTGGAACTGATGTGATATGGTGGTGGGGAGGTGCGAGTGCTTGATGTTATTCAACCCAGTATGGTCCGTATTTTATGACTTGAGCCGAGACAAAAGTGCAGACCTACCTCTTACCCTTAACCTTATTAAACTTTTTGTCCTCGTGCTAGTACTGTTTAGTATTTACCTCCCAGGGTTTTATGCTCATACCTGTATCTAATTCCAACCCTTTCTCCGCCCCGGAAAACAAAATAACTAGCTCTATCCCCTAGCATTTAGATGCAGTAGAATTTAGGAGAAGGAATCAATGGAATAAATATTCCGACTTCCTACTTAAACACGACCTTGAAATGTGAACGACACCTATCTTAGGCGAATGCGTGCCTACACGAGTGGGTTCAGCCTTCTGCAATTCGACTTCGAAGTCGGCGGCAATGAGGGTCTGCTGTGAGGCTCTCGCATCGCATCTAGACTTTGGGCAAAGGTACTTACCCTTTTTGCGCGAACCGTGTCGCGTTCGGGGATTACGCGTTTGCTGCCACAGTGACGGCGTTGACAAACCCACTAAGAAGGAAGAAAAACGGCGATTTTATTGGTTGAATGCATTTACAGATTGTAGGAGATATCAAAAATGACCAGTTGTTTGCTCACCTCAACGCAACACCCTTTGTATTTTTGACCATTCGTTTACCAACCAACTTGCGATGCACGCTTCCAGGGCACACACCGATTCGTTTCCAGAAGCCTATTCTCACCGCATGTGTACGTGACAGATTCAGTTATGCACTGTGATTTGGTCCTCACTTACTGAAGACAAAACAGCTGAAGGTGATCCACTCCACACAACTCGTTACAACTCCGGTGTGTACATGAAGAACTCCTTTTTTTTTTCTTCTTCTTCTTTAGAAACAGTAGGAACTAGTCAGCCAATGGAAGGAAAGTGTTACTCTTCTTACGTGGAACATAAGGAGCGACCACACTCCTCATGCCCCTTACCACCACCCAACTAGTTTGTGAGAGTTGGTCTGCATTTTAGATGAGACAGGGGGAGGAATCAAGAGGAGGAGGATAAGGGCGGGTAGGGATATGGCTTGAT